TAATTGTGTGTCACTTCCTAATCCTTCCTTTTTATCTCCTAATTCTTGATTGCCATCAAACTGTGATACTTATTTCATAGCTATTTAGCAAGCTTTATTCACTGTATCAAAGTTTCCCACTTTCCAGTCATCCCGGAGCATTTTCTTAAAGTCCATATTTTTGGTACCAAGTATGACAGCTGTCTATGGTACCGATGAGCTACTTTGAATTTAGGTTCTTTTTTTTTTTAATGTCCTACAGGTTTCTAACCTGACAAATAAGAGAAAACAGTATTCAAACCTCCCAACTCGGAGCTTTTGGCCCAGAGGATGACCCATGCCCTCTGTTGATAAATACTCATTAATTCACTCAATCTAGGACCATTTAACATCTACCTGAAAGCCAGGTGTACACAGGTACCTCACATGGAGACCCAAAGCCTTGTTCAGCCCAAATAGCGCCTTGTCAGATGACACGCCACAGCTTATTGCTGTGGTGTATACTGCTCACCTTCACGTTTTCATGTCTCATACAGTTACCTACTCTTACTTATTACTTGCCTACTTTTGACTAGAAAGCTCCGGAGGTACCAGCTCAGCGTCTGTTCAGCCCTCCGCACTCCCCACACGCATCCCTTGCTCCTGATTCAGCTTTCAGACTGCAGTCCCCAGCTTCCTGTCAGTCCCCCCACGCCTTCTCTCCAGTGCCTGTGCCATGCTCCCCCTCCGGCACTGTCCCCCTTCTCTGCCTTCCCATTTCCACTCCCACCTGTCGCCTCTGCCTGACTTCTGATCATTTTAAAACTCAGTTGTCACTTCCTGCAACCTCCGTGGCCCCCTTTCCTTCGTCACAGGGTGGGCGCTCTCCTCTCTGCACCCTGAGTCCCTGCGTGTTGGTTGGCCATTGCTTCCATCTCTGTGGACAGTCCACACTGGCCTCTCAGCACTCATGCAGGAACCCCGTGGCCACCATGAAGTCATTCTGTCCCTGGGGCATTGTCAGAGTGTCTCCCCTGCGACTTGCAGCTGGGATGTGCATTTGAACACTCCATGGTAACAACACACACCTTCCATCTCTTCCAGTGGCCGCCATGAGTCTCTAGAACATCCATCCTAGCTGCTCCGAAAGATAAACCTGTGTGTCTGTGAGGGCCTCCTCCTGAAAGCAGATTTCATGAATGCCCCTTCACTTAATGGGCCATGCAAAACCTGACCACATTTTGGGGGGAAAAACCTACTGAGCATTTTTATAAATTCCAGAAAGTTACTCACGTAGATCTGTTTTATCACATCTATTATATGCATCTTGCCTGTAATAGACGTTTGGCAAAGTTGTCTGAACAGGTCAATTTTAAGAGTCAGTGATGTGGTAATGGTGATGCAGTTATAACTTTTATCACTTTTGGGGAGTCTTTCCAATTTTCTATGAGATTGCATTCAAATTACCCCAGGTTCTTACTGTGCTGTAGTTGCTTAGATATGGAGCTAAGATCTTTAGGTCTCTGTTCAACCACAGTAAACGGGGTGGCATCACTGTCATTTATGTGGGCCACACCACACAGCAGAACCAATGGTAGTTTTTTTAAAGATGTATTTATTTATGCATACAAAACTGGGGTATAGGCCAGAGGAACAGGAGGGTGAGAGGATTCACCAGAGATAGAGTGGGGAGCAGAACAGGCTGACTGATGAAGTCTACTGCTAAGGGGAGCAGCGGGGAGACAGGAGAGGTCTGCCACACCCTGTGGGTCACCCCTCTGGCTGGGGATCAAACTCGGTACTGCAGTGGCTGTGGATAGCTTCATAGTGCTATTGGGTCTGTAAGTTGTAGGCATTAGGCCTGTGGTGAAATATAATGCCAGTTATGAAAAACACAGGCTCCACCTTCTATTTATAGTTGATTGAAGGATCCAGACATATTGAAAAGCAACTCTAAAAGTCTTGAAAAATGTGTATTAACAAACTGAATCTAACAGTATGTAAAAAGTAGAAATGCATCGTCACCAGGTGGCGTGTCATGGGAATGGGCCTTGTCTCCACAGTGTAAAAGCCAGTGTGTAATTTACCACATTAATAAGAAAAGCCCTGTGACTCTCTCAGTAGATGCAGAAAAGTCATTTGAAAAAATTCAGCATCTATTTATGACCAAAAAAATAAAATAAACTAGAAGGGGAAACTTCTTCAAAAGAAAGTTCCTACATCCTGCCTGTCATTAAACTCAAAGATGAAAGACTCAGTGTTTTTTCCCTAACATTGGGAATAAGGCAAGAATGTCTGCTTTCACTGCTCCTGTTCATCATTGTTCTAGGTGCTAGCCAGTGCAGTGAGGAACAAAAAAAAGAAATGAAACTGTCTCTTTTCCCAAAAGACAGTTGTCTTTCATGACAGAGAAAAGGCTAAGGAATTTACAGAAGATGCTGCTAAGGGAACTTACCAAGATCACCTTAGAAGACCATCAGTCAGCCTCGTTCCCATTTAAAGATTCTTATACCAGGGCTGTATATTGTTTATAATTACTATATAATTCTTATGAGCTAATATGCTGACTGAATTTCATTCTGATTCGAAGAAAACACTTTCTTTGGGAGGAAAAATCAAGATGTACAGACAGTACTTATTTATAAAAGCATCAAAGTCCCAAGAAAACCTCAGTGTCACTCTGTAGATCTCAGTTAAAATCTACAAAACAATGAAGAAATCAAACAAAACCTAAATAAATAGCACAGCTGATTCAACATTATTAAGATGTCCTTTCTTCCCAGGCTGATTTATAGAGTTGAAGCATCCCTGATCAAACTCCCATTTGAAATTTGGTAGAAATTGACATATTCGTTCTAACATTTACATAGAAAAGCAAAGGAACTAGACGAGCCAAACAGTTTTAACAAACTTGGAAGCATATCACCTGATTTCAAGATTATTACAAAGCAGTGGTTCCCAACTGGGAGCAATCTTACCTCTGCCCCTCCCCCAGGGATATTTGGTGTGTCTGGAAATTTCTCTTTAGTGTCAAGCTGGAGAGAAGGGGAAGGGAGATACCACCGCTATGCTGGCATCTCGTGGACAGAGGAGAGCAACGGTCAACAGTCCACAGTGGCAGGACAGCCCCAGAACAAAGAGCTTCCTGACCCAGAATGTCATTACTGTCTCCGTGGACAAATTCTTCTGCAGAGCTCTGTAACGATTAAGACACAGGATGAACAGAACAAATGAGAGCAGTTAGAAATAGTCCCTGGCACATATGGTCAGTTAATTTTTGACAAAGGATGAAAGGCAACTCAGTGGACAAAAAATAGTCTTAATAGCTTTGGGACAATTGGGCATTCGTATGGAAAAGCTTAAAAGAACATTGACCTGTATTTGAGTATGTTATACTATAATCAAAAGTAACCCCGGGGATCATAGACTTCAATGTAGAACTATAGTACTTCTGGGGGAAAGAAGAGGAGGAAATTCTTGTGGGTTTGGGTTAAATAAAGAATTCTTACATATTAAAAAAAAAGGCACAAAACCCACGGGGATTACAAGCGAGATGGAAAAAAAAATGTGCAAAATGATGTAAAAATAAACTTTGTAATAAAAAAAAAGTTAAAAAAATAAATAAAATAAAAATAAATAAATAAAAAAGATTAAAAAAAATTAAAAAATTTTAAAAAAGGCACAATCTGGGAAATAAAAACTTGATAAATTAGACTTTATCAAAGTTAAAAACATCTGCTTTTCCAAAGAAAATCCAGAGACGCACTACAGAGTGGGAGAAAATTACAAATCAGATGTGTGACAGAGGTCTTTAATGCAAAATATATAAAGAACGCTCGAAACCCAATCGTAAGAAAATAACCTCGCAGAAAAATGAGCAAAAATTTTGAATAGATTTCACTGAAACTCTACAGAAGACGGATACACACAGAACCAGATTGCTCACTATCATTAATTAAACACCACTCAGATGGGCGCACACGAAGATTCAGGAGATTGATCCCAGCAGCCTGAACATTTAACTGAGTTATCAATGATGCAGTTGCTCTGGGCGGGAGGGGACGCTCCATTGGTACTGAGACAGCACCCCACACTCGGCCCCAGCCAAGCTACCTGCTGCCTCTCTGGGCTGTAACCTGGTGAGAGCAGATCTCAGACCCACGTCCAAGCCACTGCCCGAAAATTCCTCCCATGTCTAGTTCAGGCCGTGTGTGCAGCAGTGATGAAGCATGACTTAGCCAAGAAGTAAATTTGTGCTGACTAGTCCAGACTAGACGCTCATGCCCCTGCCTTTGAGTCGGGGTAGGGATTGCTTCCTCTGACGTTCAAGGGCTTTCCCGAAGGCACAGTGACTACCCCGAAGGTAGCGATTCCCAAGGAAGGTGTTGGTGCCTCTGCCACATGCAAACACGAAATTGCTCTGAGATTTTTTTTTTTAATATTTATTTATTGATGCATACAGAACTGGGGTACAGGGGGTGAGCGGATTCACAGAGACAGAGTGGGGAGCAGAACAGGCAGATGGACTGAACTACACTGCTGAGGTCTGCCGCCATGTGGGTCACCTCCCTGGCTGGGGATCCAGCCATTGGTGCTGCAGTGGCTGCGATAGCTTCATAGTGCTGTGCTTTAACCCCTTGCGCCACCAGGGAGGGCCGCTCTGAGATGAATTTTAAAATGTGGGTGGACGTCGTCCTTAGTGACTCCATGTCTCCACGTCGTTGTTGTCCTTCAGAAAAGAAAAAGACATTTCTACATTATGTTTATAAGAACAGAACTATAACAAAAGCTCAGAGTCTACGCGAACATGCTCAGTGGCAGTCTTTCCCGTGCAATTAAGCAATTACAGCATCTCGCTCCATTTCCGGTTGAGAAAATGGTGCCTTAAGGAAGAACGCCATGGTGAGCTGTACCAGGCATGGAAGTGGGAGTTAACAATACTACCCCCTCGGTGTCTTAACCAGCTATTCGCCTGCAAGGATGCAGTGCCATGCTCCCCCGTAACCCTGTTTTCTGGCCGGTTGGGCCCCCTTTCTGCCCAGGATGTGCTCATGGAGCTGCTGGAACAGTGCGCGGACGGGCTCTGGAAGGCGGAGCGCTACGAGCTGATCGCGGACATCTACAGGCTCATCATCCCCATTTATGAGAAGCGCAGGGACTTCGAGGTATCTAAGTGGGTTTGTTTCTCCCTGTTCCAAGGAACAATGAACTGACACACCCCAGACCTTCTTGTCTGCAAAGAGAACAAGCAGTCTGGGATCAGTGGGGAGCGGGATCCCAAGCCTTCCACCCTCCAATCTTCCATGCTAGTGGGCCCCACCCCAGAGCCATCACACAGGGCCCACTGCCCCCAGCTGTAGGCAGACCTCTCAGCCCTAACTAGAGCTGGCTGTTCAGCCCTGGGAAAGAGGTTGTCTGATTTCTTTTCACCTCTCAAATGCAGTAGGAAGAACCAGTGCTTCACGTGGCATCATAAGACTGTATCATGCCTGACACTTCATGTCCACTGCAAAACAGGATTTGCTTAGGCGGTGTGAACACCTGGTGGGCCCCAGTAGGCAAGATGCCTTCTGGGGAGGAAGCATGACACTACAGAGGTGATGGCTGTCAGCCCAGTTCTGCAGTCAAAATACAGTGCTGATCCGGGACTAGGGTGATGGCACAGGGGTGATTTGGTGATGGGAAACCCGTGGGGATTACAATTGAGATGAAAAAAAAATGTGCAAAATGATGTAAAAATAAACTTTTTAATAAAAAAAAAATTTAATGGAATGATGCACAAAAAAAAAAAAAATACAGTGCTGATCTTGAACTATCTGCTGAACTGCTTGAACTATCCAAGCAGTTTTCACCTAAATGAGCTCATGTAATTGTTACTGCAAAACACTAGTTGCGAGTGAGAGGAAACGGGCTTTGTTCTACTTTCCAGAGGCTGGCCCACCTGTATGACACCCTCCACCGGGCCTACAGCAAGGTGACCGAGGTCATGCACTCGGGTCGCAGGCTTCTGGGCACGTACTTCCGAGTGGCCTTCTTCGGTCAGGTGAGCCTCCCTCTGGCCCGCAGCTTGTCCTGAGGTCTTTTTTTTTTTAAACTATAATGGTTGTATTTTGTCAAGTTTCTATTCTCTATAAATGCTAATTTGATGAATTTGTCATATTTCTTATGATTCTGATCTTCCTCAGTAGTAAACTTTCTGCTTTTTTTCTTTCTTCCTGTCTTTTCTTTATTACTTTCTTAAGGCAGCGGTAAGTTCTCCCTCCGTAAGACATTCTTAGTGGCCTCTTTGGTTACCTCAGTGTGGTGGGCAAGTTTCCTTTTCAAGTTGTATGTGTATCTGTCCAGTCATTACCAGCTCCAAAAATTAACATTTTATTCCATTTACAGAAATAAATCATCTTTTTTATACATCTAGACTGCATGTTTTAAACCAATATTAAAAGTCTCTCTGATTTTCTTTGTCCCTATGCCTCTTTATCTATTGTAATATAGAAGCTCCACATGCTCATTTTCCATTGTAATAGTTCAGAAACCCTAGATGAAAAAATTCATTGAAATTTAACTGAAAGTTTAACCTCCAAGTCTCTAACATGATTAGATGGATAAATTATAATCCATTTACTTAGGGTGTGTGGTTTTCTATGAGCATTATATAACCTTCAATTTATTCTGTTATTGTCTTTTATAACTTTGTAGCAATACCAGTTTACAGACAGTGAAACAGATGTGGAGGTAATTACAGTAAATGCTTAAAAAGCAAGTAATGTAGTAAAATGACTGCATTTAAAATCCTAGTTTGATGTGGGTGTTTTTTATTTCATGTTAGCCTGCATTTTTAGATACTGTTTTTGTACTGCTTTCTTTCTTTTTCAATGAGAAACATTTTTTTAATTTATTTCAAATATTAACCCAAATCTGAACTTTTAAAATTTCAACCTTTTTCACTTCCCATGCAATTTGAAGCCTTGTTGAATTTCAGACATGATTGCTTCCAAAACAAGTGAAACTATTTTCTGATATTGTAGTGTTTTCCCAAATGCAAAGCAAAGTAGAATGTACCCAAACATTACATTACTTTTGCTGAGCTCACTCCAGACCTGGGTGCTCCAGTTTACGCTGTAAAATCCTGTGTAAATGGGAGTGGTCAGGAGTGGGGACATGTCGGCTTGCGTTTCTGAGACCAGCAGAGAACAGGCTGCCTAGTCCTGTTGTCATAAGTTTTACTTCTTGGGAATGTGAAACAGGCTTGAATTCATTTCACTCAACACTTAATGACAGCATTCTTGAATGAGTTTGCAATTTTGTGTTTTTTCTTTATCTCTGCACCCAGACATCACATTATTATCATTTTTCTTTCTATGTGGAAAGCCTGTTTAAGTAGGATTTCATTTTAGAATCATTCCCTTTTTTTTTTTTTTTTAACCCTTATAATAAAAGAATCCTTCCTGGTAGTTAGCCTTGCATTTAAGTTTTGAGTATACCTCTAACTGTGCTTTATGTCACAGGGATTCTTTGAAGATGAAGATGGAAAGGAGTACATTTATAAAGAACCCAAACTCACGCCTTTGTCAGAAATTTCTCAGAGACTCCTTAAACTTTACTCAGCTAAATTTGGTTCTGAGAATGTCAAAATGATACAGGATTCTGGCAAGGTATGACTATGTTGGGAAATGTTTCACCATAATAGAATAATGTTCTGATTGTATGATTGATCATATATATTCATAAATTATATATAGAAGTATGTGTATATATATGTGTGTATATATGTATATAATTAAGTAAGAGTGGTTGACCTTGAGTGATTTATTTTCTTCTCCATCTTTCCAGGGAACCTACATTTAACCCACCTTTATTTCATAATTTTAAAAAGACATTCTTTTACAAAATAATTAACATTTGACAGGAAATAGTTTTAGTTCAAATAATTAGAAACAATGTAGGGTCTAGGCTTTTCTTGCCACATTTTGCCATGACAACACAGCCCTCTACCTGGATATTTCCTGAATTGCCAAATATAATCTGACTGGTGGTTGGGTGTTTAGACTGTTGGAGAGGCGACAGATCCAGGAACTGCCTGCTGGGTGGCACATCTGTAGGAGTGAGGTCTACTTGTACTTAGAGAGGCCATGAGTCTACACATTTTCCCATGTATGTATCTGTCACAGCATCATCAGGACATCTAGAAAGTTGGGTCCCCTTTGCTTCCCAAAAGCCAGGCCAAGACAGAACTCCTATTTGGTGTTAAAATTTCCCCTGGTGTTAAAATTTCCCCTCTCCAGCCCTCCCTGGTGGCGCAGTGGGTTAAAGCACAGCAAGAGAAGCTTAAGCCACTTCCACATGAGTTCGATCCCCGCCTGCCCCGGAGGAGTTCCACATGGCATGGCAGACCCCTCCTGACCCGCCCGCTGCTCCCCTCAGCAGTGTACTTGGTCGATCTGCCTGTTCTGCTCCCCACTTTGTCTCTGGTGAATCCTCTCACCCTCCGCATCTCTGGCCTGTACACCAGTTCTGTATGAATAAATAAATCTTAAAAAAAAAAATTTCCCCTCCTCCTCAGTTTAGGGCAGTGAAAAGTTCTACTTCAGTATAAGTCCATCATTTTGGAGGGTCTTTGGTTCCTTTTCTGTCTTAAACTTTGCTTTAGAGCACCTGGAGTCTCTCCTGCAGCCTCTTTGTTTTCTCACAGAATAAGCTTCCAGTTTCTAACAAGGAAAGGGTCAAGGTCTAACCCTCTGGTTCTGGTTGCAGGAGACTAGCTGGGGCGAAGGGGCCCACTCCTGCCTTCAGGGTTCCCCGCACGCCTGTGTTCAGCTCTGTACTTAGCCCTGCTTTCTGCTAAGACCGGCGACCCTTCTCCAGGGAGCAGTCTCTGCCCTTCCTGGGGGATTGGTACTCAGGCCCAGGGAGACTTTGAGCCATGTGCCTTGGTGTCTGCCCCTGACCTCTCCTGGAGCTAGCGCTGGTCCTCTCAGGGCATCAGACAACTTCTGTAACAGAAGACCACGTGGGTGTCATATAAATCACAGAAGTTTACTTCCCAGGTCCTGGAAGCTGTGACGTCTAAGATCAAGGTGCCAGCAGGTGGGCTATGTGGTGCGGTTTTTTCCTGCTGATTAATAAATGGCCATCGTCTCACTGTCCTCACGTGGTGAAGCATGCCAGCTTGCCCCTTGGGGGGATTCTACCGTCATAACCTAGTCACCTCCAAACACCTAATACCATCCCTTTGGGGGCTAAGATTTGCACACTTGAATTTGGGGACATAGACATGCAGTCTAGAATGTCACAGGCTTCTGCAGGACGACTGGCTGGCTGTTACCCTTCTCTGTGGGAACCTGGCACAGAGCCCTGTCACCTCCGCCATATCAGGTGGCACTCCTCTGTACACCTGCCTTCCAGAAATCCATTAAAATCTCCCACTCACTGCTATCTTCTGTCCTCTTCCAGGTCCTTTCCAGTTAGTTCTGTATGTCATTTTAACAGAGTTGAATGGCTCAGAAAGTGCAGCACAACTTTACTTTCCCAAACCAATGGGAAAGTAAAGTCCATTGAGTCAGCGTCAATTTGACTCAAACTAAAACCACTGTCTGAGTCAAGCCACGGCTTGGACAGCATGACCTTCTCTCAAGGTTCTCGTCCGCTCTTCTTCCCACTTTAATGTGTGGCCTTTGCTCCAGCAGCTGCGTTTCCAGACCTTCTCTCCTCCCAGAATCCTGCCACTGCCCTTCCTCCTGCTGAGACATACTTGCAGCTTGGGGAGTGAAGACAAGGACAACACCATGGAAAAATGGGCAAAAATATTCATGCCCATTGATTTTAAGTTTTATTGTTAAAGAAAGATAAGTTTAACAAGTTTGAAGACAATTATAATGATTGGTCAGGCAGCTTTTTGTAGAGTGGAAATAATTTTTTGATCTTATGTACTTTCTTAACTTCCAATATTTAAAGTATTTTTACATCTAGCTTTGCGTTTCTTCCCAGACATCTGCTAATAGTGATGCGTGATCATGTGAGACCATCTTGTCCTCACTTGTTTTCCCACCACTTCTGCACAGTCTCTAAGACCCCTCTGCAGGACATTTCTCCGATGCCCCCTCCTATTGCTCTAGAAGCTTCAATACAATTTCATGCACAAAAATGACTTGTCTCCCTAATAAATTAGATCTTGTTTCTACATAGGAAATGCCTACTTAATTTCCTATCATGTTATAAAGGTTGCAGCTAATTCTAACTCTAGCATTATGGTTTTAAAATCACTTATTTATTTAAAAGCTGAATTAATAAGGAACTAAACTTCTGGTTAGATTAATACGTACCTGTGTTAAATTAATTCATATAGGTCTGTCGACATCTAATCTGTCTATAGGTTAATTATAATTTAGGGATCCAAATTTTAAGCATTTTCATTAAAATAAATGGCTTTTGCTCTAAGCCCAAATATGTGAAAATACAACTAGGGAAACAATCAGGGAAATCCAGAAAGCTTCAACAAGAATATTAGTATACTGTCTTCTAAAAAATCCAATGTTGTGAATAAAGTGAGGAATTCTACATCAAACAAGACATAACACATAAATGTAAAATGTGATCATTAATTAGATTCTGGTTCTAGCATAAATTGCTGTAAGTAGCCTGGGGACACTGGAGAAGTGTTCACAGAGCCTGACATACTGGGATGTTGGGTGGTTTTCAGGTGTTCGTTCTGTTAGGTGTGATGACATGCTGTGGTTATGGAGGCTAAAGTCCTCATTTTTCGGAGCTGCTGGCTCTGATGTCATGATGTAAATGCCGTGGTCCGGCCACAAAATAGTCTCTGTCCCCATGTGTTCAGTATGTGGGGGGGGGCTACATGTGTATATGCATGTGTGTAGGTAACACGTGTGTGTGGGGGGATGACAATTGTTCTAAATCACAGATGTGTAGGTGTTTGCTGTGCAACTTTTCCCAACTTTTCTGGAAAATTTTTAAACTTTCCTAAAATGGAACCAAAAGTAGAGCTTTGGTGGGGTGCAGAATGTCCTTGAACGTCAACCCACGTTCTCTTCCTTTGTTCATGAAAGGTCAACCCCAAGGATCTGGATTCCAAGTACGCGTACATCCAGGTGACGCACGTGACCCCATTCTTTGATGAAAAAGAATTGCAAGAAAGGAAGACAGAGTTCGAAAGGTGCCATAACATCCGCCGCTTCATGTTCGAGATGCCTTTCACTCAGACCGGCAAGCGGCAGGGCGGGGTGGAGGAGCAGTGCAAACGGAGGACCATCCTCACAGGTAGCGGCCTGGGAGCGCCCAGGTGGGCGGGGGCAGACGTGGGGCCACGCCGGGCTGCAGTCGTGGGGGACATTCACCAAGAGCCAGATTCTGCTGTTGATTTGGGGGAGCCACAGGCCATCAAAACTGATGAGTCTGGGGACGAGGTGCAGTGTAGCTAGTGGATTTGACGTGTGTTGACTCGTGATGACATGTAAATTGAAATAGTCCTATGTTTTATTAGGGGAAAAGTAGATTCCTCTCTGGACATCAGCCTGGACACTGAGATCCGGAGCTCTCTAGAAGCTTCTAGATTGGAAGCATCTCTGAGCTTAGTTAATGCTCCCCACACATGTGTTTTCATCCACCTCTACCTACTGCTTGCTTTTGAGCACTCCTGAAGGGGCTTTTCTCATCCTCCAAAGATGTATCATGTCCAAGGCTCAGTGAAAACGGAGTTGCTTACAGTTTTCCCAAAGCTTCTCCCTGAAGACTGGGTCTGGCGACAGCAGATGGGGTTTACAGAGCTGTTTTCGGTAACGCTCCCGATTCCCTCTTGTTTGTGACTTTTTCCCTGGTGTCTGTTTACATTTTTTCTTCCATCTGCCAGAAGTTCATCTCCAGCATAAGGTCACTTGGGCTTTTTTAGATCTGGTGAGAACAGTGCCTCTTACCTCCCCAGAAGGCTTTACACACAACTCCAGGCCATTTGCAGACTCGTGAATCCCACCAGAATGCCCCACATGGCTCCAGGTCCCTGCACACAGTCTAGTGTCCATCTCCTAGCAAGAGACCCCCCGCGTGTCTGTCAGGCAAGAACCTGGATTCCTTCCGTCAGAAGCCACCGGTCAGAAGCCACCGGTCTGGACTTGGCGACTTTGACCTTTCAGGGTTGTCCCGCTGCCACTAACCCGTTCTCAGAACTGAACTTCGCACCCTGTTGCCCATCCCTGACACAATCTCTTCCCAGGAGAGACTTTTGTTGCTTGGAAGGGAGGGGCCGACCATCGCTCTTCCTTCAGGATCTGCACTTGACTGGGGTAACCTAGAATAAAAAACACTTTGTTGACCTTAAAAAAAACCTAATGGGTGTGGAATTTGGGTGGGGAAGGGACACTGTGTGGAGAGGCCTGGTCTGTGGTGGAGGAGGGCTTGTGTGCCTCTGAATTCCATCAGTGTTGTCGACAGTGTTACCTCAAAAAAAAAAAAGGAATTTGAAAAAATTTTTAAAATCAGTGAGGAGGCCTGTTCAGAAAGCCCGGCCTATCTGACCCCAGACCCAGGCGGGTTTGTCCCACTTTCCTGGGCGTGAGCTTGAGAAAGTGCTGGTCTAGAAGTGGCTGTTTGTTGCCAAGACCCCCATCCGGGCAAAGCCCTGAGGCATTCTGAGGAGACATTATAACATGGCATGAAAAGGGAGCACTGGAGGTCTGTGAGGCTGTTACAGGGCAGGCAGAGAGGGGCACCACTGAACCCCCAAACCTGCCTGATCCAAATAGGTTCTGTCATCCACCGCATCAACATAAAACTTTACTGAAATGGAACTTTAATACAGTGAGTATACAATACAGAAGACAAAGAATATAATTTCTAAATCAAACACTACACCTGAAGTGACCCATCCCCTCGTGGCCAAAAGTCCCCCCAAAAGGGACTGGCCAAAGCAAGGCCTGAAAGCTGCCACAAGACTAAAGCACCTTCTGGCTGGGACCCATGGAAAAGGATCAGCAATGGCCAGACAAGTCTGGGAGGAAAAGAGCAACATCAAAATCAAGATAAACGCTGCCAGAGTCACCTCCCTGCAGGTCTCTCACCCACATCTGCCTTAACCAGTCCAGGGCCAAGAAACAAGCCCGGTTTCTCCATCACATGCTCCCTGCTCCACGTGGCTTCCTCAGGTCTCCTCTGGCTCTCCATCCTACATCCTACTCTTCCTCTGGATTCCTTCTCTTCTTTTTTTCTCCTCAGCTCCACCCTCCTTCTGGGTGGGGCAGGGAACCTGGAACTTCCCGTTTTCCTAGGGACCCCCCCCCAGTTAAGGCGAGACTCCCTAGTGCACTGGCAACGCGTGAATCGTGTGGTGTGTGACTGAACTCCGTACGCTGCTCCCACGGAGAACACAGACCTTTCTGAAATAATTCAGAACAGCACTTTACAGAAATGTATCCCCTTTCCAGTGAGGGAACAGAGAACAGTTAAAATTTTGGGAAAAGACTTACATTTCTTATTTTTTACTTACTTTACCTATTCATGTTATTGAGGTAACAGTGATTCACAGCTCTGTATATGTTTAGGGGGACAGGTTCACCCCTTCTCAGATGCCACAGCCTCCACCACAGCACCCCCATATCCACGCTGCCCCCTGCCTGCTTGGGTCACCCTTCTCACTCCCCTTCTGGCAACCTCAATTCTAGTCAGATTTGGGGGGTTGGTTATTGGTTTTATCTGACCCTTTGTTTTGTTTCTCTGTATTCCACATATAAATGACACCATCCGGTATTTGAAAAACCACCTACCTTCTGTGGAAAAAAGAGTTCTGACTCCCACTTTAATAATAATAAAATAACGAGTAAAGCACAAACAGTATTGTGAGTAAAGCACACACAGTATTGTTCTCGGAAACATTAGCCTCTCCCCCGTAGGGAAATGGGCTGTTTTTCTAATGCACACAATTTTTATTCAGTAAGATAACTGCATTTCTAGGTGGAGTCATTTTATGAGAATTACTGTGTTTATCTCCACAGCTGTGGTGACCTTAAATCAGTGCTTTTATCAAAGGTTGTTCTGGGTCAGCAGGACCCATTTTTGGGTAAATTTGGGAATTTGTTTGAGATGCAAAGTCCCAGGCCTCGCCCATACGCCCATACACACTGCGCAGAGCTGGGGCTGGTGGTTAACAGCCCCTCCAGGGCATCCTGAAGCTTCAGCTACTTCAAATCTAGTTCACTGGTGAAAAGTAACTCTGCTGTGCTCCTGTGCGGCCCACTTGTGCTGCTGCCGGGCAGTGACTGCGATCCCGAGGTTCGTCCCTACCCTCTCAGTTCTTGTAGGCCGCTTGAAGAGTCAAGTTACCATAGGGAGAAAACCCAATTTAATTGCGTTCATGGGGGAGATCTATATGGACATGAGATTCTGAAGCCAGGTGGGCAAATGGGGGTGTATATGTCACTGTGGAGTAAATAAAAAAGGGGTGCAGGCCTGGGGCTTACACCAGTAGGCAAATCACCAGGAGGAAAAAACATCAGGTGTTCGGCAAACAAACGTTTCTGGGCGGAGCTGAGGACAATGGGACAGAAAGGAATTTTAACAAGTGGCACCAGCACACCTAGCTCCTGTCCCCTGGAAAGAACTCCCGTGATCCCTGGCTTCCGGGAATAGCCCATCTGTCTCAGATCCTTTATTTAGGTGGCTAAGGGGAGGAGCGCTCAGAGGCTCTTGCTGAGTTTTTTAAGACTTTGTTGCTTTTCTTTGGCTTAAACAATCCTCCTGGCAACTTTGGGGAGACCCATTCCAAACCCCTTCGCCACCTGGCATTGCTGTGAGGCTGAGAAGGTGCGGGCAGGGCTGGGCCTGGGCCTTCCTCGCTGTGTGACCTTGCGTAGGTTGCTTAACCTCTCTGTGCCTTAGTTTCTTATCTGTGAAATGAGAGACACTACCCGTCCGTGCTCCAGAATTTGGTAAATTGCACCCAGGAAGGGGAAGGAGGGACTCCATTTTGCTTAATCTCATCCGTAATCACACTCCTTGACCAGAGGTGGATGATGAGCAGGAGAATATAGTCCAGTGAAACACGCAAACAAGGGCGCGGTTTTGCCCTGAAAGGTCAAATGGAAAAGCTAGTTACTGGGCAGCGTAAAGGTTGAGAGAAAAGGTAATAAAAATGCTATGAACACATGTCAGGCTTTTATCAGCCTTGAGTTCAAGACATCCCAAGAGTCGATTCCTGAGACTTTGAACTTGAGAGTTTGCCCTCTTGTTAGTCACCCTTCGATTCTGCTAGCTTCAGGCTGACCGTTGGCCTTCTGAGCGGTGGGGGCTCCTCAGCCTCCCTGCCCTCTGAACCAGAGGACACCTGCTTCCCTGTGCGGGGCAGAGAGCCGCGAGTGTGGGTCCTCCTGGCCCACGCCTGTGTCCCCCTCCTGCTGTTACAGGGCAGGGAGAGGGGCACCCCTGAGGCCCAGACCTGCCGCTCTAGGTTCTGCCATCCGCCGCATCAAGGCAAGACATCTAAGACCTTAGTGGAAAGGGACTTTAATGCAGTGAGGATACAATGTGGAAGACAAAGAATGTAACTTCTAAATCAAACACCTGAAGTGACCCATCCCCTCATGGGCAAAAGTCCCCCCAAAAGGGACTGGCCCAAAGCAAGGCCTGAAAGCTGCCACAAGACTAAAGCACCTTCTGGCCAGGACCCATCGAAAAGGGTCAGCAGTGGCCAGACAAGTCTGGGAGGAAAAGAGCAACATCAAAATCAAGATAAACACTGCCAGAGTCACCTCCCCACGGGGGTCTCGCCCACATCTGCCTTAGCCAGCCCAGGGCCAGGAAACAGGCACAGTCTCTTGGCATGTCTCCCTTTGCTCCATGCACCTTCCTCATGTCTCCTTCCGGCCTCCATCCTACCTCCTTCCTCCTCAGACTCCCCTATTCTCTGCTCGGCTCCACCCTCCTTCTGGGTGGAGCAGGGAATCCGGAACTTCCTCTTCCTGGGGACCCTGTTACAGAAGGACATGATTGGCGCCATTACTCTTTAGGATGTACAACCGTGTGAATCCTCCACATGTATGTTATTAAAGGGATTCTTTTTCCTTTGCTAATCCATTCGATGCTGTTTTAGTAGCCGTTGAGTCCGAGAAGTACTGAGGGGTACAGAATAATTTCCTTTGTATCCTAACAGTCAAAGACCAAGGTGGGCTGGGTGGGGTTCCCTGACTCCAGCGCTCAGGGAGCAGCCAGCCAGCCAGGCCTGTGTGACTGTTGCTGGGGGAGACTGGCAAGGGGAGGTGAGACCAGAGCAGCAGGCAGCGGCTGGCAGGAGACCCGTGTCATGGGGGCCTGGCAGACACAGCAATGACGAGGGAGCCTCTCCCAGGCTCTGGTTACAGTCCCAAGGGCCTGAGTCCTGGGGGTACCTTCTGCGGACCCCCCCCCCAAACATCACAGTGAAATAATGGTGCAGCCACACGTAGTCCTCAAAATGTCCACGAAGCCTCAGTAAGCGCCTACCGGGCTGTGTCCACACCGACCGTGAGCCCAGACGACCCACACCCAGGTGCTCGAAATCCAGGGCCGCCGGCCGCCTCTCACCCCAGGCTGGGAAGTAGCAAGGCCCAGTTGCTGGGTCGTTACTGTCCGAGGAACCTGGGGTCCTCCTGTAAATAATAAACCCTGACTTGATTGACTGCAGCTCAAAGCTGTGTCTGCAAGAAACACAGAAGACAGTGATGGAGCCTTGGCCTTGTCTAGATCGAACATGTGGAGGCCGTCATGCCGTGGGGTGAGGAGGGGGCGTGCCAAGGAGGGGTTTGGTCAGCCCCATGGAGCCACCTCCTGCACAGTGATGAAGGCTGTCAGAGCACTCCCACCTTGCTTCTGCCTGTTAAAAAATAAAGTGAGCTGTCAAGCATAGATCTACATGTCTATTGGTAAGCGTATGTTAATTGAGAATATTACAGGTCTTAAAGTGTGAAACAGACTCAAATTAGGACTGCTTTTTCTGTTCATTTTTGTAAGTCTTCGGTATTGATCAGTTCAGGTTTCTTATGGTGATAAATCAAAACAACATTGACTAGATTATACTTGTTTTTTCTCGTTGCCTTCTGTGACTTCTGTGCATTTAAGCTTGTGATTCAAAGTTGTTCCGTGGAGAAAAATGAATTTCCCAGGAATATGTTTGTGGAACTCATCTCTATGTGATATCTCGAAATGCTTTACTTTCTTAAATATGTCCAAAGCCACCATACACCTGCTAGGGTTTTTTTTTTGTTTTTTGGGGTTTTTTTGCCTCAAATTGTTTTAATAGTTTGTTTTTACATCATTTTGTGCCTTTTCCATCTCAGTTGTGAACCCTATGGAATTCCCATCATCAGTTCACCCGTGTGCCATCACCATAGTCCTGTGTATTCCCCCTGCCCCATTTTTGATCCCATTCCCCACTCCACTCCCGGAAAATGTGTCTGGTATATAGTTGTTCATTATTCCGCCCCCCTCCCCGGCCCTTTATGCTCCTGCTATGAGTGAACCCATCCCATATTTTCCTTTTCTTTCTGGCTTATTTCACTCAGCATGATCCCTTCCAGCTCCATCCATGTTGCTGCAAGAGGCATGAGTTTATCTTTTTTGATTGCTAGGTAATATTCCATTGTGTATACGGACCACATCTTTTTAATCCGGTCATCTACTTTGGGGCATTTGGGTTGATTCCATGTCTTTCTGTTGTAAATAAAGCAGCAATAAACATGTGGGTGCACCTGCTAGTATTTTTTATATCACAACTTTCAAGGAAAACAGGGCATCCATAGATGAGAACTTTGAGCAGAGGATGATAAAGTGATCCCTTCAAAGGCATGATTCAGACTTCAAAGGTTAGCAGGGACCCAACTCCCTGGTTTTCCATGGCATGGCCTGCTGTTTGGCACACGCCCTGATAGAGGGGCTGGTATCCTGGCCTCAGGAAACTGGCATGTGACCTGGGCAAGCTTTGTGTAACTGTACAATGGGACTAGTACTTCTAAATAAAGTAAAATAAAGATCGGTGCAAAGCGTGGGATGACGCTGGGTCTGTTCCTCCGCAGCTATCCACTGTTTCCCGTATGTGAAGAAGCGGATCCCCGTCATGTACCAGCATCACACGGACCTGAACCCCATTGAGGTAGCCATCGACGAGATGAGCAAGAAAGTGGCCGAGCTCCGGCAGCTCTGCTCCTCGGCCGAGGTGGACATGATCAAACTCCAGCTCAAACTCCAGGGCAGTGTGAGCGTCCAGGTGAGGACACGCCGTGGCCTCCCTGAGTCTGTGCGGTTTCTCCTGACACCAAAGGGGTGTAGCCAAGTGGTCCTGCCCATCCCACTCTCCCTGGGGGTCCACTTAGGGCAGGAGACAAGTCTCCAGACTCAGGAACGTGAAGATTCTGAGTACCTGCTGGAAGCATCAAGACTTGTAGCTAGAAAGCCGTGTGGAAAGCGGAAGGTTTTCGTACGCAGGTTTTCTGCTTTCTGTGAAAAGTGTATCTGCAAGAGCAGCTTAGGGCTCAGTCTCTTAACACTGCAGTTTGATCTACAGAAATCCCTTACTTTATTGTGTTTTCGTATTCATCCTTAATTATTATGCAGCTTGACTGTTGAACACATGATTGTGGTGAGCACAGGGCGAGCACTATGAAGGCCGTGGTTTGAATTCACTGGCAGACCTTATCCAAGTTATGCTTTGTTTCACAATCCTGCATTTGAATGTTACCCAATGGGTCCGTTTCCCCCTTTACGGGCACATTTACCCGTGTCCTCCCTGAGAAGTCTGCACTTACATCTGTTTCGAAGACATTTTGCTATATTTTTGTAAATGTCTTACTTACATGGATGCCTAGGAAACTGGAGAATGTTAGATCCCCTCCCTCCAGGAACCATTATCACTCCTCTTGATTTAGTGATAGTTTTAACTGTGTATCAATAACCCTGTGTATTTGCGTGCATATATACATGTTCATACATAGCGATACGTGTGTGTTTACACATGTACAAAGGCATGTGGACCTGTGTCCAATTCTTTTCCCTTTCAAAAAAAGGCCTGTAGATTAAGAAAGTTGCCTGTAGATTATAATACATAGACGCTTTGTGTTCTGCTGTCAGTTTTCACACCTTTTGGTTAGATCCACTCTGAGTCACTGCCTAACATTTCTCTAAATGTCATTCATCACAAAAGGATTTACAAGATGTTTTCAGCTTCTTCCTTTACGATCCAAAGACCTCTGTGCCAAAACACGTTCCCGGGTGAATGTCAGCCTGGCCACGTGAGTGACCACTTAATGGGACCAGAGGCCACAACTTCTGCAGCTAAAAACAGAACCAATCAATAAGCAGACCAGAAATTTCCAGCCTCTTTGAAGAGGCAGTGTGGGGGTGTGGGCACCAGAAAGGGTGGAGCTGGGCAGGTGGAACCTTCTAAAGGGCAGAATGTGCCCTGCCCTTTGTCAGCGACCTTAGAGTTTCACAAATGCCCAGTCATCTTCAAAGGCAAAGCATTCCTTGATGAGATTGCATTCTCTCACGTGAGCTCACCAAGGTAACAGTGTTGGGTGTATTTATACAGTTCTTCCGCCAGGAACCTTCCTGTGTCATCTTTGTCCCTGGGGGTGGAGGGAGTCACCGGCTTTTCTCTCTGCATCTTCTTAAAGTTGGATCTATTGCATGAAGTTGGATGACAGTCACGGGGTCGTCCCCAGGGTATGAGGATAGCCACACACCCATCAGTTACTTGGGAGACGAGCGCACTGTCCTCCCCAGCCTGTCTCAGATGCCTGGAGCTTTCTCCTTGCCATCCTGTGTCTGATCTTTCTCGCCACTTTCAGTGTAGCATGACTCAGACACCAGTGGGAAGACAGGGCCTGCTTTGTTTATGGCTCTTTGACCTCGGGCAAGCCTGGCATATTCCCACCGTGGGTTCTTCCTCCATGTGACCACCCGTCCTCACAAGTGCCCAGAGGGTGGCTGACACGGTCCAGGCCAGGCTGCATAACAGCACTAGCTTTCTTCCATCTCTCCTTTGGGACTGTCAGTTCCTGGAGGGCAGGGGTGGTGACTAGCTCAATTCCACCAAACCTCCATCAGCCAGATTGGCCATTTCCTTCCTAATGTCCTTTCAATCCTTTGTTCTGCATCCAGGTCAATGCTGGTCCCCTCGCCTATGCCCGAGCTTTCTTAGATGACACAAACACGAAGAGATATCCTGACAATAAAGTGAAGTTGCTTAAAGAAGTTTTCAGGTAAAGCACACCGGGAAGGCCCCATTCTCGAGTATTAATCATTTGTATGCACATTCGAGAAAGAATGAGGTCTGTCAGACTCACTCTTTGTCTTTGACGTGCCTTTATTTCTCTCTGACACCATGGCAGGCAATTTGTGGAGGCTTGTGGTCAAGCGTTAGCCGTCAACGAACGTCTGATTAAAGAAGACCAGTTAGAATATCAGGAAGAAATGAAAGCCAACTACCGGGAAATGGCAAAGGAGCTTTCTGAGATCATGCATGAGCAGGTAGGAGCTGCGCTGGCTCTGACGACCTACAATCCTTCTCCTTTTTAGAGAGCACGTTTTCGTGGGGCCTCGGGTCACCCTGTGGTGGCCTGAGCCTTCTGACATCCTCCCAGAATGTCAGTAGCTGAGCTCTGTGCCGTGGCCTCTCTGCAAGGCCCTGTCTAACCATGGGGGCCGGGGACCAGCTACCAGCTTGCTCACTTGCTAGCATCTACCGTTCCCAGAGGACAACAGCACCCAACTTCTCTTCATTGCTTTCTAGAGGTGACACACTTCCTAAGCATTGACCTTCCCCACCCCAACTCTAGTTCAAAGGAACAAATGAACAAAAATCCTGAGACAAAAACACCCATGCTCTTCCTAGAATTTGATGTGCCCAACCCTTCGCAGGATTTACCAGGAATTAGCTGTTGGATTAAATATTCTTTGACATCCAAAAATATAGGGCATCCGACTGGTGGCTAGCTACAGCTGACCCAGGTGCCCCTTGTCATGTGGGCATCTTTCCTGATTACGCCGCACGTTTCCATTCCTCCCTGGGTCCCTTCCCGTACGGCTCAGTGTCAGGCCCGGTGGCCAGCTGCCTGGAGCCGAGAGGCTGTCCAGGAGCAGCCTGCACGTCGTGCCTGTTGGGGGTGTCCGCCCCCGGCACTTGAGGGACGGTCTCCCCCCCCACACACTGCTTTGTCTGTGCCCTGTGTCGTGGTCTTGCAGCCTCACAAAATGGAAGCCAGGACTCTGTGCCAGCTGCATTCTCAAGGGATAATTCGTTCAGAAATTTCTATTTCAGGAAATGAACTGAAATGTGGAAGCTTAACATGCATGTCTTTTTTTCTCTTCTCCATGCTAACACGTTCAGATGGAATGGTAATGTCATTTTTTAACTTTTGCTCTGCTAAACTGACTCACATAAAGCTATTCTGAGTCTGGCAACTGGAGACATTGGCGCATTGGCCAGGCATGTGCAAAAGACATCAGCCGTCTTCTGGGCATTTAGAAAATTAGGGGACAAATTAAAATGATTAAAGAAATGAGTGTGTGAATGTTTACTCAGAAAAGGGAGCAAGAGCTTGTAGAAAGCTCGAGGCCTTTTCCATGGGGGCTTTACACTCCTTCAGAAGGAGGCTTGGCCACTGTGTGCCAAGTTAGCACAAGGAAAAAAATAAAAGGAAGAAATTATGGGCTGAGAATATTAGCAGCCACCCAGCTGCCCAGCTGCTATGGACATTTCATGCAGTCTGTGTTCTGTGCTGCACCTTGAACTTTGCATTATTTCAACAACCCACAGATTGACCTCCTTTGACCCTTTAAGCAAAAAGCATTGTGGCCCAGAGTAGACTTCCTCTGAGCTGTGTGCTGTTCTTTTGAGTTTCCACCTGGCTGGAGGCAAGTCTGGCACTAGAATGCCTCCCTGCATGACTGAGTGTGAGAACTTCTTGCAGGGCAGAGGGCCAGCCGCCCTTCTGGATGAAAACCTCTAAGACCCCAAGAAAGAAGCCAGGAGACAAGCACAGGTGCTCCCTATTCGTTTTAAGACTTTCCCCAGGACAAGGCTAGGTTATGTTCCCATCTCGTACCTGCATCATAGACGCAAAGCCACCTGTTGGCTCGGTGAGTCTAGAACTTTCTCACTAAGTTGTAAAAGAAACAAAACATGTTCTTGACTTTCCGCTTATAATCCTGACCTGCAAATGGCACGGACTAAAGGCACCGACATATTCCCTCTGCAATCTTGGCCGAGCCATGCTGTCTGAGAGCAGCCTCAGCCGCACGCTCTGGGCACGGGAAGATAACATAGTGTGTTTCACAAAAGGCACCAGTGTGAGAAGTACTTGCTCAGGGCCTTCCCCTTGGGTAACGTTGTGTTTCTGTGCCTCAAGATTTGCCCCCTGGAGGAGAAGACGAGCGTGTTACCGAACTCCCTTCACATCTTCAACGCCATCAGTGGGACTCCAGCCAGCACCACGGTCCACGGAATGACCAGCTCCTCCTCGGTCGTGTGACATCCCCTCATGCACCGGCTGTGGGGAATTGCTTGGTCATTTGCAAACTCAGGTTGATTTCCAAAGCTAATCACTGGCTCATGCAAGACGCGGGGTGACCGAGCACAAGACCCAGATGTCAAGGGGAGTGGGAGAGAAAGGAGATATGGAACTGTTATTTCATAACAGATTTTCTAGAAGAGTCTTAAGAGGGCACACATATTTTTTTAAGTCTGGCCGGCAACGTTTAAATTTTTCATGATGTCTTAACAGAAGCATGTGGTGGACATAAGGCTGGAGTTAAATTTTATTCTTCCTTACAGAGTAGTATTTAAATGGCCTCGAGTCAACAAATGTTCTGAGAAGTACATAGCAGGGATCGCAGCACTGAAATTGAGTCTGGGGTGACTTTTTGCCTCTAGGCTGAGCTGGAAAACCTTGAAAATATTTTTTTTTTTCCTGTGGCACATTCAGGTTGAATACAAGAACTATTTTTGTGACTAGTTTTTGATGACCTAAAGGAACTGACCATTGTAATTTTTGTACCAGTGAACCAGGAAGTTAAGTGCTTTTATACTCATTTACTTGCATTTAAAATATATGAAAGCGGAAGAAACTTAGGCGAGCTTAAAACTAGTCAAGCAGTTTAGCACCAAAGGCCTGTATTAATAAACAACTATGCTAAAACTTTTCAAGTAGTACAGTATATAGTAATGTACATAGAGTTTGTTAATACAGTCTTAGCACTCTGTACAGATGTCTTAATTACATTTCTACATTTTTAATACTCACATCAGCTTCTGCATTAGGTTTAATTGTGACAGGGCCGTGCTGTTCTTAGTCTATGCGACACACTTGACTCCACTGTTTTATTCTTGTACATAAAAAAGTGCAATATGGAGATGTATACAGTCTTTGCTATGTTGGGTTTATAAACTGTTTTAAAATTTTCATCCTTTTGCCAAAGTGGTAGAGTGTGTAATTGGTAAATCATACATTCGGTGGTGACTAGTGATGTCCTTTACAGCCTTCACCATGTTATATTTTCTTTGGAGACATTAATTAAGTAATTTTATATTGGGGAAAATAAAGGTTTTTAATTTTATTTAACTAGAACCTCTACCCTGCTGTATTTAAACATTCTGTACCACAACTGTATTAAAAATAACATTGCTGATTTCCTGGTAGTGAATATTGGGTATTTATTGTTTAAGCATCTTAAGAGGAGCCGGATATTGAAAAACGTGGGGGTGAAATAACATGGTTTATGAAGTTTGCTTTAAAATAATTGAAGATGGGGCCCTCCGAGGCCTTCGACAGTCCCTTTCGCACGAGTTCGAGCCTCGGCCAGGGAGCTGACCCACATGGCGCAGCAGACCTCTCCTGCTGCGCCCCTCAGCAGTGTATTTCAGTCAGTCTGCCTGTTCTGTTCCCCACCCTATCTCTGGTAAAACCTCTTACCCCCCCCACACACACACACACCTCTGACCTGTACCGCAATTCTTGTATACATAAATAAATAAATCTTTTTTAAAAAAATAAATAAGTAGGGCCCTCCCTGGTGGCGCAGCGGGTTAAAGCACAGCACTGAGAAGCTTAAGCCACTTCCGCATGAGTTCGATCCCCGCCTGCCCTGGAGGTGACCACATGGCGTGGCAGACCTCTCCTGATCCGCCCGCTGCTCCCCTCAGCAGTGTCCTTCGTCGATCTGCCTGTTCTGCTCCCCACTCTGTCTCTGGTGAATCCTCTCACCCTCTGCATCTCTGGCCTTTACCCCAGTTCTGTACGAATAAATAAGTAAATCTTTAAAAATAAATAAATAAGTAAAATAGTTGAGGGTGAGTAAAAGGAAACAAGATGGACCCGCTGCTGGCGATCGGTGGAGCTGAGGTTAAGTACCCAGGAGTCAGTTTCTCAGCCGTTGTGTAAGCTTCCGCCATACAGATCTCAACGGGCAGACCGAGAGGTCCGTTCTGCCCAAAAACTTGGACACATCGTGGCACTGTGGTCTGCTCTGGATTATTTTTACCTGCCTGAGTACGTGTAGACATCTTATTACCTTTGACCTGTCCTCCTCAACTATTCAAGACTTCCACCCCGGGGCTCGCCTGCGAGATGATGACTCTGGGACAAGGCAGCCACTTAGACCAGCCACACATCAGCAGCCACGTTTGCACATGCTCCTAGGCTGTGCCATGTCACCAAAACCGAACCAGGTCAAGTGACAGCTCAGATGCTTATGCTGGTCCTGCTCTGGAGACGTGGCGGTGAGTCTGTCCATTGTCATACAGCCCCATGTGGCTCCGGTGGTAGGAAGAAGAAGACTCTCCGCCAGAAATACAGTGGTGGCTTTTTCTGAAAGGCTTTAAAGGCCATCTTTTCATTACTGGTTGAGGAAAGAAAATAGGATGCTGTGACTTCCCCGGCACCCAGATGCCTAGGAGAGTGCTTCGTGTTCTTGAGACATTCTTCATGTATCTACCATGAGGCTGTTTTACAGATGGACAGTGTCACTGAGGACAGATAGAACATAGATGGCGACGTGTGATGACAACTCACCAAGACGAGACCACCCTTCATAGTGCAGACTTAGGACTTGAGAAAGTTCTCTATTGACGTTTTGTCCTGCGTCTGACATTGTTAGCCCACTTGGTAAGCCTGTCTCTACCATCAGGAGGGATGGGAAGGAGGGCTGGTCTCCTCTGTCAGTGCGCTGGATTTCCTGCTCATAAAAGCCTCACTTGCCCTTAGAATTCAAGTCACCGTGGAGTATCCACCGAGGGAGGGCTAACTTGATATCTCATCATTAGACATGAGAGTCAGTTCTACAGATGTTGTGTCAGATAAGTGCTCACTACAACAGTAGAGAAAGGTGGCTTCTCTACATGGAAACTGCCTACTACTCGCCCTGTATGAAACACATTCTTACCAAGTAAAAACCGCATTTGGCCCTCCCTGGTGGCACAACGGGTTAGGACGCAGCACTGCAAGCTTGCTGCAGCCATTTTAGTGCGAGTTCGATCCCTGGCCTCAGAGGTGATCCACATGGCACAGCAGACCTCCCACTTCACCCGCTGCTCCCCTCAACAGTGTACTTTATCCATCTGCCTGCTCTGCTCCCCACTCTGTCTCTGGTGAATCCTCTCACCCCCTGCACCTCTGGCCTGTACCCCAGTTCTGTATGCATAAATAAATAGATTTTAAAAAGAAAAAAATCATTTAAAAAACCCTCATTTTCTTTAGATATAGCATTTTAATTTGAGGCTCGAAGTTAGACGTTCAAATAGTTGTTTATTGGAGAAAATGGATTTCAATGTTAAAAAACATTTTTCATTACATTCACTTGATAGTCATGTAAGAGGCATTGTGGATGAGTGGTGAACATGACCGCCCTCCATTCATAAGGCATGCATGACTGAATACCTGAAAGAGCACATGTTACATAGCTCTATGATTCTGAGGTACAATATTAAAGTATGCAGTAAACCCAATCAACACAAGAATTAGAACATGACTAAAGCAATTCCTGCTACAAAAAATAGTAACTTTTTTTTGCTACATTTCAGTAAATTCTGTTTCCCATAGATTGTATGTATTCTTTTTTTATTGAGGTCAAATATATATCACATAAAATTGACAACTTGAATGATTTTTAAGCAAGCAGTTAGTGGCATTAAGTACAGTCTCATCTTGCAGCTCTCACCACCATCTGTCAAACCTTTTTATCATCCTAAACAGACAATCTAAACCATCCAACAGTTCCTTATTCCCCTTTGGAAAAATTACTTGTGAAGTAATTTTGGAAATAAAACTTTAGTTAGTACATTATCAGGGATATTTGCTACCCAGAAAGTAACTCAGAGAAGTACATAAAAATGGAGTCAGCTCTTGTATGGAGAAAGCTGCTGTAACTAGAGATACAGAATTGAAAAGTAACTTGTGAATGAGGCAGTATAACCATGGAGGTTTGGTTAGCATTGTAAAGAGTTGCTCATTGAAGAAACTCCATTCAAAACAAAGTACATTTGATTTCCATCCACAGGGGATCATTTGCAAAAACTAGGGACATCCAAAGCGAAGCTATATAAAAGAATTAAGAATATTCCTGCACCCTACAGTCTTCAAACTGTAAGTAAAAAGATAGATACATAATAGACACATATGAACACTGTGCTACCAATTATTTATAAAAGGAGGACATAAATATAGAGGTAATTTGCACATTTATTTTAGATAGAAAGGTAAACAAACAAAAAACTTTTCAATTATGACCTATATGAGGAGAGAGAGAGTGATATAAAGGGAACAGAGTTAGAAGACAAACCTCTCCAAATATAATTTGCTTTCTAGATTGGCTTTAGAATTATGTGATCATTACCAGTATTAACAAATTTTTAATTCCTAAACATTTAAAGCAGATTGAAGGAGATTAGCATACCTTAAATTAAGTTGGTGACATTGATACACAGAAAGGACTTAAAGCACAAGAATTTCATCGTGTATCCTTAAGGACAAAAACAGTGGCAATGAATGAATGATTGATAAAATCATTTTCAGTAAATTTTGTTTGTGAAACTGGTATGTTTGTGAGGCTAGGTTGTTATTGTTCATTGCTGGATACAGTAGGTAAGTATGCTGATGTCATTGGGAATTATGATTTTGACATAGAAAAAAAAGTTGTATTTATAAGGCCAAAGAGATTAAAACTCTCTAGTTGTGAATTTTATATGGAAATACCAATTTGAACTCATGATACATAGCTCTTGTAACACACACACACACAGACACAGTTGATGGCCTGGTTTACTGAAAAAGGCTCCAAAATAATAACAGCAAGTGAGCACCCTAAGTGCCCAAATTGTGTTTTTTAAATACCTTTCCTACCAAAAGGATCCAGAGCTCCTGAGAGAATATCTTGATTCCAGATGTAGGGTAGAAAATGTCTAAGATGAGACTGGGTTATCTTTTCATACCAAACATCAGGAGACTGGCAGAGACATCTGGACAAAGAACTTGAAGCTTCTTCTAACTAGCAGATGAACATCAACAAGAACAGTAATAGCAGTGGATTGAAATGGCATCATTAAATCCAGGAGTTCGTGATAAGGCTAGAAAATAAAAGAAAAAGTAATTATTGAAGAAGTTACTATTCCTGAGAAAAAGAGGCACTGGTGCTGGGTAGTGGAATCAAACCATCACCATAAAGTAGTCTTGCCCCAAATTACCCTGAATCTGATTGAATCTCTAAATCTAACAGCCAATTCCTCGGGAAAATACAGACACAGAGGAGCATGTTAAATGACACCTGGGTGGAGTTGGGGAGAGGCGAAGGGGGCAGAATTCAATCAGCAAATTTTGCTGGGGCAAGTTCTGATGGACATACAACCTGGCTTCTTCAATGAATAAATTTCAAGGAAAGAAAAGGAAGATAGTGTCGAAACATATGACAAGATTTAGGATTCTCTAAATGTGGCATGTCTAGTATAAAAAGTAGATATCCTTTCCCAGCCTATACCACTATGTTCAATTAAAGTCCCAGATATTATATACACACCCAAAGACTAAAAGGCAGGATGAAGAAAGATCAGCTAGGACCTTGGAGCCAAGAATGGGACAGTGAGAAGAACCCTAAGTTCTGACCGTAAACACGGCGTACTTGGTGATGCAGAAGCTTGTAATGTAGAAGCGCCAGTAATGACTGAATTCTAGACTCATGGCTTTGGAAGGCTAGGACCAAACACCTCTGCCAGAGTGGCGTCAGAGAAGGCCATGTAGGGGCCAGGACAGTCATCCTTCCCCCCCAAGTGAGGGTCCACAGGGCTCCCAAACTTGACAGCAAAAGCATGGTCCACAGAAGGACAAATTGGCAAGTTGAATTTCATCAAAAATAAAAACATTTGTTCTGAGAATGCCCTGTTAAGAGGTAGACAGCACAAGCTACAAAGTGGGAGAAAATGTTTGCAAGCTGAGATTGCCAATAAAGGACTAGTATCTAGAACATATAAAGAACATTAAAAACTCAACAGCTGGGGCCTTCCCGGTGAAGCACGGCACCACAGCGGCATCGACACGAGTTCGATCCCCAGCCAGGGAGGTGATCCACATGGCGCAGCAGACCTCTCCTGTCTTGCCCACTGCTTCCCTCAGCAGTGTACTTTTCCCCACTCTGTTCTGCTCCC